TGCTACGTCTACATTAAAAGACAAATCAAACACTGATATAAAGTCAAACTAAATCATGATGATGGCTGTTTGCATTAAAAATCCTACAGCTCGATCTTTGGTGTCGTCCGTCGTTACTTTTTGAGTGTTTGTTGTCTTAAATGAAACAGATGCTAACAGTGGTCCTGACTGGTGGAAACCGTGCGAATACTTTTGCTCCAATACCAAACTTAGATTGTGTTTTGTGATTATTATATTTGAGTATTTGCCTTTTTTGCTACCTTGTACCTCCACTTCACATCATCTACAGTTAAATGGTCTCATTGTCCTTTTACAGCACTACAAAAAACATTTAACATTTTAGCTTTAGGTTTGCGTGAAACAATGAAATCCCATGATGCTTTTGTGCTGTAACCTTTCCACATGGCCTCATTTTAAAGCTCCTTAATTACCTAACAATTCAGAGGTAGTATGGATATTAAGTATTAAAAAAGAATTTGTCAATGAGCATTTTTCTCTCTCTCTATTGTTCCATGACACCTCATTTGTCTTAATAATTTTAAAACTAGCAAACTGTATAGAAAGAAGTTTAAAATGCCTCCACCCAATTTAAATTGGGGGCGCAAATAGCCTATGGTTAATGTGTGCGCCCAATGTAGGGAGGCAATAGTCCTTGAAGCGGGAAGCCAGGGCTCTAATCCGACCTGTGGCTTCTTTCCCGCACGTCATTCCCCGCTCTCTCTGTCCCCCCAGTTTCTGACATTTTTTTTTTTTTTTTCAATCAGTCAATGATGAGGGATTGTAAAGAAAAAAGTAATTGTCTTACTCAGCAGAGCGACTTGTGATTGGGTAACTGTTGTGGTTTATGAAGTTGCATCCATGCAGGACACACACACAGGTTACTAACACATCATGAGCAGGTTGTGGATAATGACTGAACTCCACCTTCAGAAGTTTCTCCACAGGATCCTCTTCCATGAGTGTCCTGGATGTTGAGCAGATTTCTGTTTAAGTTTGTAAGTTGGAAGAAAGTCACACTGCATCATCAACTCCTGTACCTAACAGACTAGAGTGAGCGGATTCTGGATTGCTCTCTCGCTGCCTGAAAATCCCCAATAACCAAAAGTGCATCAAATCTTTAAAAACTTCTTCCTTTGCTGAATGTTGATGTAACATTAACTGTTTTTGCCCACTTGGGGGGGCAGAAATACACCAAGCCATTCTGGAAACTACACAACAACCAATTAAACTTACATTTCTCGCGGTGTCGGCTGCCTTGTGGTTATGTCGCATGCCCATTGTCCACAGGGATTTAGGCGACTTATTTCTCAAAAGCTGAAAGTTTTAATAAAACCAAACAATAAATGATAGTAGTGGAATATTTACAGATATTGCTTTTATCTTATCTGCACTCAAAGGTTAACACAAACAGTGTTTATATCAGTAAGTCTTCCTCATTTTTTAAATTACACAAAAAAAAAAATCAATATTTTCAGTATTCCATAATGCATTTATTTTTCCCCGACATTTAAAAATAGCGTTTACTAAACATAAGCACACGAGACTGTGCAAAGCTGCACCTCTGTACAACATCTTTGTACCTTGACACATAAATAAAAATCTATAAACATCAGTTAAGTAAAAATTCTGTCTGGAGATCCATTAAAGACGCACAAAAATAATAATTATACAAGTTTTACAAAGTAATCCCTCCCCCTCGTCCTATGGTCATTTACAGCTCAAGTACAAGTTTTACAGGCGAGTCATCGTCCCAATCAACCCTTTTCAAAATGTAGAGTTCTAAACTCTACGTACAGAAATAAACAATCATTAGGGAAAGTCATAAAGTACAACATGTTGTAGTTTATGAATTTTTACATCGCTTCACCTGCAAACAAGGCCCCATGCTGCAGTGTGTCAGCATCAGAAAGATGAGCTTTTGGCAACATGACGTAGGATAAGAACAAAATCATGAAGAAAATAAAGTATGTACTGAAGACAGAGACGGCGTGATTAACCAGGGAAGGATGAGCAATGAATGAGTTGTTACTCCCAATGCACTCTGGGACAAATGCGATTGTTGATTTTGACTGTTCCAAGTATAGATGTAATCTTAAGTGGAGATTGAATTTCAAAATGACACTGGAAAAGAATTGTGTAACGTCCGCTTCATACGTTTGTTTGGATGTAAAACTTCTGCTTCACATGAAATCACATTTATCAGCCACTCGTCGCTCACATCAGTACGGCTTATAAAAAAACCAAATCACATCCAGAGGTACAAGAAATGTTGAATTCAACTCATCTCCTGCACTAGTTTGATATGAAGACTTTGTCTGCATTCTGTTTAGAATCTGTATTCAAATGTTAATTATCAGCTGATCTTGATCTGAAAGGGTTCTGAAAGTCATGATGATCTAAAAGTGTAACCAGCAATATTTAAACATCTGTTGCTTTAGCAGTAAGATGCTCCTCCTCTGTGTTCTCCGGCCAATGTGCCACTGAATGTGTCTGCTGTGGTGTGGAGAGTTATCATACTCACAGGTACTTTACATAGCTGCTGATGAGAGCAGGTACACATTAAACTATATCAAACATGTGCTGCTGTAACCGTTCACCATCATGCTCTGCTGTTTGGGCATCATGAACAAAACTTTACTTTGTCATTTTACATGAAATGATTGTAGAAAATGTTAATCATTAAAGGGGAAAATAATGAAAACATTAATGTTGCATTTAAATAACGTCTTCTTGGAGACACTGATCATTTAAGGGATTTCTGGATCATCTCCTTTTTTTATTTTCAAAGCTCCACTTTATTACAGAGTACATTGTACTGTCTTATCTATTTTTGTTTTATGCAGCAATGTAAAGCCTTACAGTGGACAATAATCAATTAACACAAATCAAAACAGATAGAAGTTGCTGCAAACCAGTGTTTCTTCTTTCAAGTTTCCTAACAGGAGCCCTGCCTGCAGAAATTGTGATTTATCTATTTTTTGGAGAAGAACTGAGCTGCAATGGGTTCCAAATGTCTCAAAAATACCGCCAATAAAACATCTCAGCAGTAAGAACTGGCTTGCTTGATTTTTAAATAAGGAGAAAACCCCACACCTGTTGACAGCTTTGTCTCAAGACAGAGTCACAGTCAGTTTCTTCTGGTCTAAACACTTCAAGATTGTTCTAAATGTCATCAAGCAGGTAAACATAATAATCTAAAACAATAAAAGAACTAGAATATAACTGTACTCTCCTTACCAACATCTACAGCAAAAAATATATCTGAGGCTACAGCTGGCACTTCTGCGTCATTAAAAGGTGCGTTATCCAACAAAATCAATATGCAGAAATTGAATTGGGCTACAAGCAAAAATAATGCAAGATGTCATATTGCTGCGGGGAGACGTTCATTGTGCATCAAAGAAAGCAAAGCTATCCTGCAAAGAGAAAAAGAAAGGGCCTCAATAGTTTCTCAAGTAGTAACAAAAGGCTGATAAATGATTATTAGTTCACAACTTGTAGACACAACTTTTGTAAAGAATAATGACCAGGATTCCTTTTTGTCTACATGAACTTACAGTTGAATCTTTAATTGCACAAACCAAACCTTTGATATCATGCATGTCTCCCCTGACCCGTGACCAATGACCTTCTGACACCGAAAAGGGACAGTTTGAAATAAAACATCTTGAAAGTCACTCGACAGAGAGACACAATCTGCGTAATGCATTCGGTTTCATGATGTGCAATTTTGAAACTGAGCCTCTAACTTAAAAAAAAAACAAAAAAACAAAACATAAAAAACCAACAAAACAAACAGAGCAGCTTTGGTTCAGGCCGAAAAAAAAAAAGTAAAACAGCTGACAGAAAAAAAAACTCCCTCTGCCTCAGACATGTTGAAGATCTATAAATATTAATAATAAAGAAAACTATGAATCATTTTAAACCATTTTCTAACTCTATACTATGACATCTCAGCTACATTTACATGGTTAAAGTCGCGAAGAAATGTGAAACGTCTTCTCAGCACTCAGCTGCTGTAGTTTGAACTGCACGGATGTTTGAGGCTAAAATCTGATTTCATGCTAACTTTTCACATTTAAGCTCCATGATATCAAATGTATTCGTTGTGTTTGGAGAAATAGACAGATCTGTGAGAGGTCACTGACTGTTCTGGGTGACAGAAATCGTCTCACTCGTTTTACAGAACAGATTGAAGACAACAGGGCGTGTGTGTGTGAGTGTGTGTTTGTGTGTATTAGCGCATTTTAGAATAGGTAATTATTTATACAGTGGCATGTAAAAAGACTTGCTGATGACAAGTGTGGCTGAAAGATTACTTATCTTTGTATGCAGCAAGTTCACCAGCATACTTTTTTTGCAGACAGACTTAATGGTTTTTGTACTTTTATTTTGAAATCTGGACATTTTTCCACATCAGGCATTTGTAATGTTGAACAACTCAGTATCACGAGGGCAATCATTGTGTTGCGTTAACAGCTGTACCAGTGAGGCATCCTGATGTGCTTGATCCTCATGTTTAATATTTACCATGTCCAACATGTTAGTGTAGCATGCTAACACATGCCGACTAGTGCCAAACACAGAGCACAGCTGAGGCGATTATAAGGGACTGTCCCCTAAATCGCTTGTCTGTCCACAAAAGTGTCCATACGTGGCGCCTGCCTCAAGAGTTTCACTGGTCTATCATTGTAATCACTGAGAACAAGTGTTACAAGTTAATTGCTTTCACGTCATTACAGGTGCCTTATGAAGAAAAATGACAATCCTAATCATGAAGTAGTCGTGATCTGAAATGGGGCCCTTTCCACTGAGCTGCCTACATGCGATGTAACATCACTCTTGTTCGGTTCAAGGTAACACTCGCACTAGATAATTACAGCGGACATCCTTCCTAAAAAAAAAAAAAAGGTAACAAACGTACCAAAACAGTGATCATAGGTTGTGGAAACAAACTTGGACATTTCCAGAAAGCAAGGTGAAAATTAATCAGAACTACCGTTTACGGTGCTGTGGCACTTTTCTGTGTTCGGAGAAAATGGCTGAATCTGTCACCAAAGTGTCTGAAACAGGTGATTTGACTTTTTTTTTTCCCCCCCTCTTGGACACTCCCATACTGTCTGTACCAAAGTAATATATCAACAATGCCAGAAAGTGAAGTTTGGACAGGGAGGAGTGTTGGAGAGGTCACGTCACTGGCCTGTCATGAGAGGCTCTTCTCATTCTTTCTACCCACCACCAACAGGACTTGCCTTCAGTCTTGTGTGCGGGGTAAAAAAAGGACCCGCTGCAGGGAGGGCAGCTACACAGCAATGTCTACGACAGCGAGCCTGAGCGAGGACTAAATCCTCCTTCACACCACATATTGGTGGTTGCTGCTGTAGTTTGTCGTGTAGGCCTGCCTGCTGTACTGGAAGTGGTCGGTCAGCACGTTGTTCCAGTTGTGCTGCTGCTCCGAGCCGTGGGGGAAAGGCACTGAGCCGTTAGCCTGGGTCTTCTCCAGCGCCTGGTTGTCAAAGGACATCAGGTCCTCCTTGGTGCTGGGCAGCAGCTTTTTCTGCTTGTTGGCGTCATACTTGGCCTGTTGACAGATGAGAAGGGAGAAATTAATTTTATATGACTGGTTGTCTTCGTGGGTTACTCCCTAACCCTGATCCTTGGCTGCACACTGAACGTTAACAAGTTCAAACTTTTCCTCAACATGAATAAAACTTCATTGTTTACATTTCATTGAGTGGTAAACAGCCACATGTTGGATATGATATGGAAAGCAGTTTGCAGCCATAGTGCCAGCAGTTGACTACTATTAATAGAAAAGGACAGTTGTGAGTGGAAGAAAGGGCGGTCAGAGCACATACAGTGGTTTGCAAAAGTATTCATAACCCTCCACATTTTGTCACGTTACAACAACAAACATAAATGTATCTCATTGGGATTTTATGTCATAGACCAACACAAAGTGGCGCATAATTGTGAAGTGGAAGGAAAATGATACGTGATTTTCATTTTTTTTTTACAAATAAAAAACCGGAAAGTGTGGCGTGTACAAGTATTCCAGTGTTGTTGTATCATCGTCAGCCTCTGATACTGCCTAAAATACAGCAAATGCAAATCCCTTTCCAAAATGATGTGATGAATACAAATAAAACCAATACAGAGATGGTAGAGAATGTTTTTCAGTCAAAGTTACCAAAATGTAAAAAAAAAAAAACACTTTGCCCACTAAAGATGTGTTTTGTTTTAATCCTCCTTCTTCATAAGAATACTTGATGTAGGCTGATAGTGATACTCATGTCTTGGTGTTGGTTGAAAATATCTTATCTGTTGATATATACTCATCATACGTTTATCAACACTGATGTTCTATGAATGAAGATGTTTGAATTAAAAATGAGAAACTGAAGATTATTTCGTTTTTATTCATCTCTAAATGTCTTCATCTATCCCTGTGGACGTGGTGACTCACCTTGTTGTAGAGGAAGACCCCCACGATGGCCGTCATCATACCAAGGACGTTCGTGGATGAGACCGGGTTGCGCAGCATTAGCAGGGAGATGCTAATGACCATGATCCTCTTGGTGGCATTGGCAACGGCGTAGCTTAGGGGGCTGACAAGGTTGAGTACGCTGAAAGCAATAACATTCTGAGCGAAGTTGCAGAAGCCGCTGATGAGCAAAAGGACAAAGGTGCTTGTCCAGCCTGAGATCTCCGACTGTGAGGAGAGAGAGGTTTGGACATGGGTTACAAACAAGCCAGTTGCTGCTGAAGAACCTCCAAAGTGATGTTATTAAATCGCTATCACTCGTACTCACCAGGTCTCCATTAACAAGAAACACAGACAGATCGACCAGGACCCAAGTGGGCAGCATGAAGAAAACGGCATTGAAGCCCAAGATATTGAGCAGCCTCAAGTGGTGGACCCTCGTGTCCCGCAGCACCTTTCACAGGGAGAAGATACATTTTTAAGATTAAAGGCAGAGAAAAAAAAATTAAAAAGTTACTACAGCACCAACCAATACAATGGAGATTCAAAGTTTTGGACCCTGTTCCCTGTTTACTTTGAACTTTATGAATACAATCAAAAAAAAAAGAAACAAAAGCAAGTTCAAAATGATACCAGAATAGAGTTAGTGTGGGTAGAGTTCATTTCAACCCTGGGGCATTTTTTTCCGACAGTTTCCAACCTCAATGATCGTCCATGACCTTAAACAAATGTTGTAAAATTGCAGTTGATAAACCAAAACAGGCCTACACCATGTGTCTCTCTTCAGTGAAGTTGTGAGTATGACTTTCACAACAAAGTGGCAGATACAGATTAGTTCTGCTTGCCAGAGAATTGTGGTAGTTGGATGAATGTTCAGCTGTCATTATGAACATTTGTGTTATTGAGGTGTCATTAAAAACACAAAGTTTGCGTTACATTTTTTTCTTCTACCTGTATGTAGATTTGTTTGGCAGCCAGCGAGATGGTGACACCCATCACGAGAAAAATCACAAAACAGATGTGTGAAGAAACAACACATTAGATATGGAGCTATTATTGTGGCAAAACTATTTGAATGCGTACACAGATCCACAAATGTGTAAAAAGATCCACAAATGCGTAAACAAATCTGCAAATATGTAGACCAAAAACACACACACATGATCGCTTACAACTGAGGCGGGCCTCTCCATTGGCTGTCATTTTACACGTGACTTTTGCAACACTCCTGCCGTGCAAGATCCACAAATGCATAAACACATATCATCAAATGTGTGTCTGACGATCTGCAAAAAACATTAGTGGGGGTGTGTTGCCCTGAGCCAAGGCTCACAGGCTAGGCTGCCAGGCGGTCAGGCTGCGTACTGCTTTGCCTGCACTGTACAGGAAACAAATTTCAAAAACACAAATTATAATAGACCCTCCATCGTAGCCTCCTCAGTAAAACTGCACCCACGGCAGCTATCCAGCTCAGTAATGTCCGTCTTGAAGTCACTGGGTGCTACCGCGGACTGGCAGCCTAGCCTGTGAGCCTGCGCTCAGGGCACCAACTCCACTAATGTGTTTGCAGATCGTCAGACACACATTTGAAGATATGTGTACGCATTTGTGGATCTTGCACGGCAGGAGTGTTGCAAAAGTCATGTGTAAAATGACAGCCAATGGAGAGGTCCGCCTCAGTTGTAAGCGATCATTTGTGTGTATTTTCAGGATTTACAGCTGAAAAAGTTCACTGCCATTAATAAATAAGTAAATATTTTGAAATTGGTCATCATATTTGCAGATTTGTTTACGCATTTGTGGATCTTTTTACACATTTGTGGATCTGTGTACGCATATTCAAATAGTTTTGCCACAATCATAGCTCCATAATTATAGATACCATTGCCATCTTGTGGCAGGAGCAGGTATTGCATACCAACTAAAAAATAACATTTTAGAGGCTGAAACATTTTCAAACAAATCACATAATAATAATAATAATAATAATAATGTTGATTGAAGTTGAAAAGGGGGATTCAAAATAAATCACTCTAGTCCCTTACAACATATTATAGTCATTTTTGATCTTGTGAAGATGAAGTGTTCACTTTCATATTGCTAGTATTTATAACCACAATACAAATGTTAGCCTTCTGTTATCATAAAAAAATTAATAAAGCAACAATAAATAATAAATAAATAATAATAACAATACACAAGATCAGAGATCAATGAGATTAAAGCACACTGTTTTGTAGTCATGTTGGAGCTGTGACTTTTTTCAACAAACCCCAGAAACCAGGATTTTGGTTTGAGATAGTGGTGTGTGATAGTGTTGAGAATGAGTTACCTTTTTGGAGAAGATGTTCTGCAGAGAGAAGCAGAGCGTGGCAGCCAGAGCGCTGATGAGTCCTGAGACATCAAAGGAGAGCTCCGTCGCTGTAGCCAGCAGCACTCCACCAATGATGGGGATGAGCGACACGTAGATCTGTGACAGAGAGCGTGCAACCGGACAGAGTCAGCAGGAGACAATACATAAAGACCAGCAGCATTATGAAACCCCCTTTTGCACTGACCACCCCAAAAAAAAAATATCAACCTCACTGAGTGACAGAGAAAATGTTTCCCTCACAGGTCTACAACGTGGACTTAAAAAAAAACTGTGGACTGTGCCTTTAACACTACCTCCTGAGTCACTGGTTAATGATTGAACCTTAACAGGATAAAATATGAGGAAGCGGAGCAGCTTCAGGAAGTAACTTGTTTTACTCTGTTGTGATGAAAAGTTCGGATATACACCGATATATCCAGAAAGTTCTGATCTGCTTTACTTTTATCACATGTTCAGTATTGTAAAGTGGCAAGTTGTTGTTTGTCAATTAGCAATTAAGAGAGACCTCTTTTATTTTGAAAAGGGCCTCAATATTTGTCCCACATGAAGAGTCTAGACTTATTTTGAAAAATCATCACTGAGGCTTTTTGCAGTTGGCTATTTTTTTTTAGAAAGTAGAAAGAAATCAAATACAACTGCTTTACTAAATAGTCAACTTCAATTTAACTTTTAATATCCAGTTTTTTTTTCAATGTAGAACAGCTGATGGGATCCGACAGAAGATAAAACAGAGCAGACGTGTCCCTCTGTTTTCTCAAAAGCCCAGAGTCTTTCAGGTTATAATAAAGCTTTAACTCTGCGCAATCCCCCATCCGTCTCTCTGAATGAATACATGAAGGAAGATTAATTAAACAGAAGGTCTATCCTAACTGAATGAAGATAACCAGTGGCAGGTTGTTGTCGTGTCTGTATGTGTTCAGTTCAGAAAAGCCTCTCCCCCTGTGAACAAGTAAGACATTTAGTGAATGTGCTGCTGAGACGATCACTGATTCATATTAGTCTGCTCCTCAAACACAGAAACACGTCATCAACACCTTCACCCTTAGTCTGTGCACCCAGACGGCCCGCTGGAAGTAAACATGACAAGCTCATGTTAGACTCAGAAGTTTCCTTGACTGTTTAACGCTCCTACCACCTAGACTGAATATTAAACTTCAATGTTAGCAAGTAGCAGATCTTAAGCTCAGATTGGTTTTATGTAGAACTACATTTAAGCAATGTAGAAAATATTGTCTACACCTTAGCTTACTAAAGGTTGTTTCTCATGATACAGAATGAAAAGTGTTCTGTGGTGTTTGGTTTTGAATCTTTGAAGGAAAATGTGTAACAATGAATCAAGACTGTTGTACATTCGTTTGTATTTAAGTTCAGCTACAGTAAACGCTGTCACTGTAATAAGCAGAGGCCAAGATGAGCTGAGGAGGCATGACCAGGTATTTGTGAAGAATAGTCTTTCAGTCAATAGAGAGAGATAGACTTTATAATTGTTCATTCAGCTGTAGCTTGTACCGTATTTTCCGCACTATAAAGGCGCACTTAAAAGCCTTTAATTTTCTCAAAAAACGACAGTGCGCCTTATAATCCGGAGCGCCTTATATATGGATCAATTGGTTAATTGGTTGATCCATACTGGTTGTACACGGCGCTCAGCGACACTGACTCGGATAATGACGAGAGGGAGCCGGGCATGTTGGATGCCGTACTCGCCCAACTGTTCAATTCGGACACTGAAGAAGAAGAATTCGAGGGATTCGTGGACAGGGAATGAACTGAAAAAGTGAGCTTTAAGTGTTATACGTAACTGAACAATGTTGAGTTATGCACTAACGTTTGAATTAGCGGTATCAGACTGTGTTTCCTTTACGTGTTTACAACTGAACTAGGCTGGGAGATATTGTGAATATGCACATTAACGTTTGAACAACGTTGAGTTATTGTGAATGCACTACGTATAAAACATAGTTTTATACGTATTTATATTTATATATTCACAATATCTCCCAGCCTTGTTCAGTTGTAAACACGTTCTATTCTATGCGCCTTATAATCCGGTGCGCCCTATATATGAAAACAGTTCTAAAATAGGCCATTAATTGAAGGTGCGCCTTATAATCCGGTGCGCCTTATAGTGCGGAAAATACGGTAGTTATTGTTCATTAATTATAGAATAATAAAGTAGTTAACTGTAGTACAGCAGTAATGTTGCAGTCTTGGAAACTGATAAAGATTGTTGATTTTTTTTTTTTTTACTGTTCGTTTAATAGACAAAAAAATAAATAAAAACATTGATTCCAAATGAATGTAATCTTTAGTTGCACATCGTTTTAGTATTTTAGTAAATTAACTTTTGGCAAAACTGCAGTGACACAAACATTCATAATTTTAAACACTTTTCTTGCTAAATTTATGATCAAAACTAACATAAGAAGGTTTCGTTTTTGCGTGTAGAAATTACAACACCTGTAGTGACATGCACTGCAGGATTTGCTTTGTTACACTGATAACAGTGGATCAAGCAGTCCATCAGTAAAAAATCCTCTCCACTCTTTCCCTCTTATCGTTGATGAATGTCTGATAAACTGTTTGTGCTTATAGCTTATGTTTTGTCCATCACAGTTCAGAGTCAGCTTTCATCAGATCTCTTTAAACACTGCCCTCTGTTCTTAAAATGTTCTACCACCTCTGTATGTATGAGGGACAGCTTTAAAAAAAAAAAAATGTAATCACTTGAACACTGCCCCGCATCCAATTTAAGACATGTTTAGACACTGACCTAGCTGTCTCCTGCAGTATTGAAAGTAGTGTGTGAATTCAGAGATTTAACAAGTGAGTATGGCCCTGCCAGTGCAGGTGAAGACTTCCCTCTCTGACCCCCGGGCCAGCACGGTGCCACATCACCACTGCTGACTCAAACAGAGTGGGCCTTGTGCCTCCTTTGCTGCGTCCTACCCACTCACCTTTGTGGTTTGCTTCTCCTTCATGATTATTCTTGATAACAGCACAACCCATATCGGCATCGTGGCTTTGACTGTGGAATAAAAAATAAAAAAAAGACAGAGAGGGGACATTGTCAACTGGGACTGTTTCCTGGGCAAACACAGCAGCATTAAACAGCAGCAGGTGTAAGGTAGAGATTAAGTTAGTGCTTCAACACAATGCAGCAATATTATGTGTCATAAACCTACGTCAGAGGCAGGAAAACACACCTATGTCAAACACTCAACTTGTGTCACTCAATTATTTATAGAGCTCCACTGTACTACGTCAGACATGATCCTGGTTGGCTTATAGCTCAACGCTGGTTGCACTAAGATTATTACAATGGTTTGAATAAAATTAGATCACATTTTCAAACTTAAAAACCATGAAACGTTGACCTGTGGAGTCAAAAAATGCTAACAAGAAAGAAAGACTTAATAGTGTGTAGTGAGGTCATTCTTGGTATTAGAAGAAGAATGTACACGCTTTACATGTTTTTCACGCTTAAAACATGTGAAGAATGAATAGTTGAATGGTTCATTTTAAAACTAGTTATGTTGTGTAGATAAAGTTAAGGCAAACTCCTAATAGTCAAAGCAACAATTTCATTTAAGGTTATAAACTCAGTGTCCTGTTTGTTCGGGAAACGTAGCTGAAAGTAATGCACTGAACGAGATCAGCTTTGGTTATAAACTGTTGCTGTAGATTTTTAACACAATATCCTGATGTGTTTGTCACTAAAGATTTTGCTTTTGCCTGGATTTTAAAGAACAGCGAAGGAGAGACATTAAAGGGATACTTCACTCATTTGCATTAAGCTTTAACCAGGTAGTATGTTTGAATGGTCGTGCATCCCGCCCTCATTTTCCCCTGAGACGGGAAATCTTTATATGTTTAAGTCTGAAAAGGAGCTTCCAGTGATGCAAAATGACGATTTTTGCGTCACTGGAAGCTGGTGCGGTTAGCGGGGTGAAACTACAACGCTAGTTCCTCATGTTTTTGACCACTGAAGCTACAGACCAATGAAATCTATAGCAAAAGCAATAAAAAAAAGTGAAGGATATCGTGTCTATGATGCCAGAAGAACTCAAATAAGGCAGACATGGATGTGACGGCTCACGCATTTGGTGCAAAGAAAGAAATACATTTTAACTTAACAATGAGTGGCATAAGTGAAAAGAGAGAATATTTTGTCTTCACAGGTTTTTAACATATCAATCAGGTATAAAGTTTTAAGTTAAGCAGTCTAACGACAGTCCAGCAAATTTCTAACTATCATGAAGGTGATTTTTATTTATTTATTATTTATGTGTTGATTCAACCTTTATTTTAAATATAACCGGTCATTTCAGTAAGATTTAGTTGTTGTGCAGATGAGCTGCATAGTGGGATGGTGCACATTATAACCCTCACAAAAGGGCTGATTGAATATAGACCTGCTGTATTATAAGATTGAATTAATTTAGCATTGACAGCAGTTTTAGCTCCGTGTACCTAATGACGTCCAGCTGTGGCAGCCAATTAGCTTTATTAAATTCAACAGAAGGTAACTTCATGTTGCTTATTAGGGAAAAAACTCAATTAGCTAGGGAGCTGTGAAGTTAGAGGAGGAAACTCCCATTCAGAGCAGATTCAGGAATGGTCCCTCCCCCCTACCGTAGTACATCTGCGATAATGAAATTGGCTAGCAAGCTAACAGAGCCACTTATTTATATATCTTGTGGTAGCCTAAAAAGCTGGATAGTTAGTAGTTAGAGGACGAGGGGAAAGTTATTAAGTCCTCTGAAAGCTTGTCTGTTCCCATCCGAATGACACCGAGTCACGCCAGGAACACAAAGCTGTAGTTAAATGTCTGTGTCGCCGAGGTTGTCCAGAGTTAGCCACGAAGCTAGCCGCATCAGCTGACGGTACAGACACATCATCAGGTTCCCCCCATGGCTCACACACACACACACACACAGACAGACAGACACACAGACACACACACACACACCGCTCCAGGTGGCCCAAAAAAAATCAACACATATCACAACATACTCACCCGTGTGCGCGTATGAAACAGGTACTTTCCAGATGCTGAAGTGAGCAGACACGGATGCGAAGTATTTCCCGAAAGCTAAGGGCAGGATGGACCACCGGTAGTACCTGCTCGGCAGCTCCGTTTTGGGGACTCCCCATGCCCGCAACAACGGCGGAAGGAAGACGACGATGGAGACGATGTGAAACAGAGAGACCGTGACCGGGTACGGGAATCCATTCAGGATGATTTTGTTGACGATGTTGCCCCCCGAGCTGACTGTGTACCAGCACACACACAGTAAAAATATCCGGATCCCTTCCCTGACCGGGGGCCGGTCCGCCGCAGCCATCTTCCAGCGCGGAGTGACGAGTCACCCCGCCTCGCCGGTGATATATATCTGGGCTGCAAAAGCTACTGCTCGAACCGTCAGATCACCAACGAAGAAGAACACGCGTAGCTTCCGGTTAACACTTTCAAGATAAAAGCCATTCACGGACTATAAGTCGTAGGGCCCTTTTTTTAAACCAACCCCTACACACCCTCCCCCTCCGTGACGGAGTGCACTCCGTTAGAAGTCACACTCGTAGCTGAGTGAAGTCTCCTTCATCGAGGTGTAGGGTACAAATACAGCGGCAGGCTTTGGGGAAAAACTTCCCCCTCTCAGGTGGAAACAGGAACTGTGTGTTACCATGGTTACTCAGCGGTATCTTGCGGGAACAGCTTTTTTTTTTGTAGCAAATGCATTCTTTAAAAATATTTATTATAGATTATTATAGATTATTAAAGATTATTCTTATTCTTCAAAGTCAAAGTCAACTTTATTGCCAATTTCTAAATATGCCAAACATACAGTGGAATCGAAATTGCGTTTGTCTCCGTCCCGCGGTGCAATTCAACCAAAATAAGGTAAAATAAGATAAAATAAAATGAGGTAAAATAAGGTAAAATAAGATAAGGTAAAATAGATAAAATAAAATAAGGTAAAATAAGATAAGGTAAAATAGATAAAATAAAATGAGGTAAAATAAGATAAGGTAAAATAGATCAAATAAAATGAGGTAAAATAAGATAAAATAAGATAAGGTAAAATAGATAAAATAAAATAAGGTAAAATAAGATAAAATAAGATATGGTAAAATAGATAAAATAAAATAAGGTAAAATAAGATAAGGTAAAATAGATAAAATAAAATGAGGTAAAATAAGATAAGGTAAAATAGATAAAATAAGATAAGGTAAAATAGATAAAATAAAATAAGGTAAAATAAGATAAAATAAGATAAGGTAAAATAGATAAAATAAAATAAGGTAAAATAGATAAAATAAAATAAGGTAAAATAAGATAAAATAAGATCAGGTAAAATAGATAAAATAAAATAAGGTAAAATAAGATAAAATAAGATAAGCTAAAATAAGATAAAATAAAATGAGGTAAAATAAGATAAAATAAGATAAGGTAAAATAGATCAAATAAAATGAGGTAAAATTAGATAAATAATATTTACAGTAATAAATTCTAAATTGTGCAAAATGTACAAAACAAAATGGTAAATAAAATAAAATAAAATTTAAAGAAAAAGTAAACTTGTGCAATATGTGCAATGTGCAGTAAACTGAGTGTACTTTTGAATAACTTCATTGGTAAGTTATATTAGTGTAGACTTATAACAAAACAATTAGATTGAGCCTACATTGTTTATTGTAATTTAGAATTTCAGTTAATTTATTGTAATTTCATAGAACAGGGTGTCCTAAATTAATCTAAAGACAAGGATAATATAGACATAAGTTTATAAAATGTGACGTCATTAAGCTGCGTTAAAATGATAGATTGTGTAGTTTGAACTTTCTGCGATAAAATAAACCACTTTAAGTACTAATTTGAATAAATACAGAAAAAAAAAAAACATTTCAAACGCGAACAACAGGTGCATGAAAATATGTTTACTTCTGAGCTGTACAATTCCCAGAGTAAAACTTGGTTGAACTACTTGAACTGTAGATATTGCATTAGGGTGTTTTGCTCAAAGTGTTCAATTTTGCCATCAATATGGAAATACTGCTTTTCAGAGTGTCTCCAAGGAAATTATTAAAATTCTGACAAGTGCTTACTTCACTGAGCCAGCTTATATCTTGAACTGTGGATTTGTCTGATCAAGCTGCAAGGAGAAAGTAATGAACACAGAGGACAATCAAAATTCCTTCAATTTTTTTTAATTAACACATATCAACATGTCCACTTAAAAGGGCAAAGTAGGAAATATGGTCTCTTCTGCATTCAGCTGAACAAAAAACAAATTTCTGTATTCACTAAGGCTGTCTTTAGGGGAGGGGGGAGTTTCCATAAGGCAAACTATATTTAAAGGAATGATATTAAGTACTTTATCCAGCATGTCAATTTATATCCCAGCTCCTCCTTACAGTACAAAGATGCAAGCTAACAGTACTTACTGCTCTGCCATGTCAATTGATATTTTACAAACTAAATACACAAGAGAAAAGGCAAGTTTAAAATAAAATTAGTTTACATTATTACAATTTCTCATTATGGAAAGTATTTCCCGGATTAAGTAGGTTGGTGTATGAACAGAAAAAGGGCAGCTGTATTACCAAAACAATTGTGAATGAAGAAACCAGAAATTAAACAGCGTGGTCTGAAAACATATGTAAATTATTAATTTAAAACTAAAAATTAATATTTAGATGTAAATAAATATCTTTCATGGCAGCCACATTTCTCTCTCAGTGTGTATTTTTTTGGCCTAATACATGCCTGTCTCTCACCTCAAGCTGCACAGTCACATCTGGCAGTTTCACAATTTAACCACATTCAAAACTCACAACACACTTTTTTTTTTTGTTATGTTATGAAACAGATCAGTCTGTTTTTCTGATGGATGAAACAGTTATATACTGCTGAAACACGTGCCTTGCAGAACAATTTCATGGCTCAAACATTTCTTAGTTCTTAATACTGATGGTTATTATGATAGCAACTTTTTTTGTTGATAGACAGGTTTGTTCCAAGACTTTTGAGCAAATACCAACAGAGACCTCATTGGTATACGTGTTAGATTTCGATTAAAACTAACAAAACTTCAACTTGGAGAAAAAAATACAGCACTGTTATTTGAATCTGGGTAGATGCAGGAATCATGTTCACAAGGCTAACAACAAGATGAGTAAATGTAGCTCTGAAGTTTAATGATATGTCCTCATCCATACGGACAATGTCAGGTTTGGAAACTCAATCTGTACGGTAACTAAACACTGACAACTTCATAGTCAGATTGTGCATAGCCCATTTTTCTTCCTGCCCGCACACATTGTTCAAAAACTCATAAGAGCACTGATTACACACCCTCTGCTCCACACACTATGAAGCAGTCAGCACATTGTCTCATCTTTTATCCCAAGGTGCAAAACACCTCATATGTAAGTGCCTTCATATGCAGAGTCATACAAAGCATAGAACTTCCAACCAGATCTTGGTTTCAATCCAGACAGACGTACGGCAGTATGTTCAACCTGCTCTCATCTCCATGTGGGTCTAAAGATATGCACTCTGTCCAGTCATACCAATGACCCTTTGTGTCAAAGCAACCATTAACACCAGACCAGTGTTGGGTGTGTAATCTGCTCAGGTCTTCATAGATGACCTCTCTGCTGACCCCCGGTAAATCCTTGGCTGGGAGTTCTGGTGCAAGCGTGTGTGTCTTCTTGGCGTCTTTACTTTGGTGTTCCTCTTTTTTTATGAACTCTGTCATGAAAAAGTGTGCACCAGGTGTGTGTGTGCCCGATGACGTGAGCATGTTGCTTTGCTGGCTAAGGTATGACTGGATGATTTCGCTCCTAGAAAGTTCTTTCCAGTCCGTCTGTTGGAAGGAACTGGGAGGAATGGGCTGATTGGGTTTTGGCATTTCCGACCACTGGGATTCAGGTCTGTGGCTCAGTCTAACCTCCTCCTCTTGGCAAGGCTCTTTAAGAAAGGAGGGTTTGATCTGTCCTGTCACAGGGTCAAAAGTCAGCCTCCTGTCTTTTAACCTGACTGGTTTAGAGCTATCTTCTACAGTATGTCCATCTGACTTCACAACAACACAGTCCTTAGGCTTGTAATTGTGTCCTTTCCTTCTCCCTGTATTGCTAACAGTACTATTGTCCTCCAAACTGACACCATCACTAAAGGGTGAGTTAAGAAGAGATTTATGGGGAGCCCTGCTTTTAGAGTCTGAATCGGCAGACCACGAACCTGGAACACAAATATTTAAAGGCTGAAGGGAAGACCCTGACACAGAGGTGTCATCTGACACAGGCCTCTGTGCTTGTGGTGCAGTTTGAGTAAAGCCAGCTTCCTGCTTTAAAGTTTGAGGACTGTGCAAGAAACCACGTGGGCTTCTGGGTTTATGCTGCCCCCCAGAAGCAGCTTGCTCCTGTCTGGCATGCTGCTGCAGGACTGATGCCTTCAGCAAAGAAGAAGTGCTAGGAGGCTTGCTGTATCCTGGGGCACTTGGATGAGGTTTTACAGCATTGACTGGGATTTTACTTAACCTGTTGTTGTCCAAAGGCTCAGGAATATCCCTATCTAAAGGCTGATGTGCATACATTTCTGTAGAAATTTCAGAGCTACTGCTAAGTCCATTGGTCGGCAGCTGTTTGGAGCTTCGCATTTTATCATCAAGTGTCTTTTTGGATATCTTGGCTGGCAAAAGCTCTCCTTCCTTATGGTTTCCCTTGCGTTTTTTGTTGCTCAACTTTTCCATCCTAAGGGGGGAACAGTTGTTGAAGTCGTTTCTGTTCTTCAACTCTGCCCCGGTTTTACCTGATGGCGTGGTAATGGCTGGAGTGGCGATGCAACCATTTGAAGACCATGATGCAACACTGTGACCCTTGGACAACACCTCACCCTTCCCTGGTTCAATAAGCTTCTGCCAGTTTCGCAAGAGCTTCTTGGCTCTTTTTGCAAGGTCTTCATTCTTGGTTTTCTTGCGGACATCGTTGATGAGTTTGCCGAGTCGAGTTTCCTTGAGGACATAGAATTAGTGTTAAAGAGCTGCTAGAAGTTGATTCAATTTAAGTCCATCTTAACTTAATCTCACATTTAATAGGTCTGAATGTAACCTACCTCCAGTGCTTCTTTGGTGATGGGATATTTCTCCAGATAGGAGATAACCTCCATAACTACCACCATGTTGCATATCTGCTGAAAAGACATATTTACATTGAAAATCCTGAGCCTTTAGTATAATGTCTACATTACAACCACAGCATCCAGGTACAATGGTTTTTATTAAGATGTTACAATTGGTAATTCAGAACTTAACAGGCCAAATTTGCATGAATTGTAGACAGAGAAATGATTTGAATGGACTCTCACATGTGCACCTGCATATCACCAGACTATGTACTCACACCGGTTTCAGGCACAGAATGAGTAAAGTTAGATTGCATGCAAATGTGTAATTGTTTCCACAAGAAGACAAGGTCAGAACTGCATGTATGATAGAGGAAAAGAGACACAAATAGAGGTGTTCACTTGGACCAAGCCTGATCGATTGATCCATATGATGTTATGACATTACCATGGATTGTAAATATTAATGGACGAAGCCTGAGTGACGTCACCCATTTGTTACTGCAGAGTGTTTTGGAGTCCCATCGATGGTGGTCACCATCTGGGAAATGCTGTCTCACCCATAGACTGTAAATATTAAATGGACCAATCTGAGTGACGTCACTAATCTGTTACTTCAGGGGGCTCACCGGCTGCAGCCGCCATGCTGAAAATCATATCTCAGCCTCACTTTCAACAACCTAACGACAGGCTAAGAGCTGAGGCAGGTTTTAAGCCTCCTTACAAACAGCTACATTGCACCCACCTGTCAATCAGGTCTGCTGCAAGTTTAACTATGCACAACTTGTATCATTCAGAAAATCACAGATGCATTAAAAAATAATAATAAAATAATCACCCCCCATACAGTGTGTGCCCACGAGGACATAAACTAATCAGACCTATATCGTCTTTTGCACCAGGCTGTAAAACATGCTATTTGTTTGCTGTAAAAACTGGCATTTGTGAATGGGGTGTGTATGTGACTTCAGGGGGTCTTGGAGCCAGCCTCAAGTGGACACTTGAAGAATGCCGTATTCTGCTTCATTTTTCAGAACCAGAGGTTGCCAACAACAGATGTTTTTTAAACTAAAAGGAGTTTCTCTTTAATGCTGTTAAAACGGTGCTAAATCATTCTAACAGGTCTGGTAGTGATGGAACATTGTAGGGCTGTGTAGCAATGCTTTCACTGGATTCATTTATGATTGAAGTTAAAAAAAAAAAAAATCTGCTGTTTCATTTGCTGGATTTTCCCAAGAAAGACATTGTAGTGTTGTTATTAAAAGTGGTAACAATTTGTTATGACACCTGTGTTTTAACCATAGGCCACTATATAATCCCAAATAAAGGATTTGTTTTGTAGTGTGAACAGTGACACAGACAATATGTAGAAGTAAGCACAAAGTGTCATTAAATCATGTTCCTTACCTCGACCAAAGCAGTGTATTCATCATTGCTCCAAAAAAAAAGGTAAATAACATATCTACAGTATATTTAGATATGTAGATCTTAAAGTCAGGTTATGATGACTCTTGGGATCTTATCTTCCCAGTGTTTTAAACTGTGCTGTGACATGCCATAGCAAATTCCTCAGCACTATAACAAAAAAAAAAAAAGGTGGGAGTCGAGATACTAGACTAATATTTGACATGACCTGATTTAACTAAACCAAAAAGGAATAACTGTCTGTCACTGAAACACATCAACCTGTCGATTAACACTCCCCACCTAAATCAGTTTCACAGGCCTCTCAGTCTTAAACGCACTGGACATTTTAGTGTTGCAAAAATAAAGCAAACTGGACTCCAACAACGGTGGCCACCAGCGGCCAGTAAAGGCGGATTGTTTTTCGCTAACTGGAGATGTTAGCCGGCTACTTAGCGAGCAAATAATGACTCCCTACACCGACACAATACTAACCCCCACACCCCCCCTCCTCCACTTTGTCAACCCTTTGTGGGCTCTACTGTCTGCCGGTCTGCCTCCTTTGGAAAACAAGCAGGTATACTCACATTGCTCTGGCCGTCGATGGCCTTTAGCAGCCGGTCCCTCATCACCTGCGGAGTGGCTGTAGCCGCTGTCATCGCCTGGCGGTGTCACGGGTCAGTCAGGACGGACGGACTCAGTCAGCTCTCTCTCTCTCTCTCTCTCCCCTCCTCCCCTCCCCGCAGAAGAGGCGCTTGGTTGTGAAACCTGCCGGCACTCACAGGCCAGTCGGAAGCTCTTCTGTGTGTTTGAGCACCATGTTTTATGATGCATCCAGATCTGTGTTTTCATCCGCCTCCGTTATGTTTTATGGTGTTGGCGACGAGCACGGACTAGCCTCCAGAGGATCGGCTACCCTCCTCCTCCTCCTCTCCTCCTCCACCTCCTCCTCCTCCTCCTCCTCGGCTGGTAGCCTTCTCCTGTTTCGGTACTCTCATCGGGCTTTTTGTGAAGCGCTGGCGCAGTGCATGGTGGGAGAATTTGACGTAATGGACTGATCACGTTGGCGATGTTGTTCTTACAGATGGACAATAGTTCTGTCTCTCCTGAGAGGGGTTTATTTT